CACCATTTTTGAAGATTCTGCCTTTTCTCCCAGTGTATGCTTCTGGCATCTTTGTACTAGTATATGGATGTCATAATGCATATTCATGTTTGGATCTTCAGGGTTTTTTTTCTTTTCCATTGGTGATTCTGTCTATTTTTGTGCCATTACCGTATTGTTTTCACTTCTTGACTGTGTAATATATCTTGAAATCTGAAATAGGTTTTGCTATCTGGAGTCTTTGGTTGTTCCATGTGAATTTTGGAATAGTTTCTTTTATATTTCTGTAAAAAGTATGCTACGGACTTTGATTGTGGTAGCATTAAACTCTAAATAGCTTTTGAAAGAATATTCACTTTTACAATGTTAATTCTACTAATCAATGGGCATGATTTATGCCTCCATTTTATAGTCTCTGTATCTCTTTATTCAGAGGTTTAAAATTTTCATTGTAATGGTCCTTTACCTCATTAGTTAGATTTATTCCTAGGCATTTTACTGTATTTGATGCTACTTTAAATGAGAGTGTGTCTATGATCCCTTTCTTTGTGCTTTTTGTTATTGGTGGTGGTGGTTGTAGTGGAAAGAAAACTCCTGATCTTTATCCTTTCATATCACTTACATTCTTGACACTTTCTACAAGCTTGCACATGGGGTATTTGGGATCTGAAACATAGTATCATGTCATCTACCAATAGATTTTTTAAAATTTCCTTTTTATCCCAATTAGTATCTCTTCAATTTTTCTTGTCTTAGTTTCCTGGATAGTGATTAAAGTATAGTATTGAAAAGGATTGGGAATAAAAGCTCAATTTTTATAAATGTATTTTTATGATTACAATATTCTTTCATCCTTCCTGTAGCTTTCCAAGTTACCATTTTCGATCACTCTCTACTTATTGAAAACTTCCTATAGCTACTATTTTATAGTATGCCTACCAGCAAAACGTTAGTTTTCTCCTGCCTGGAGAAGATCTTTGTCTCCCCTTCTTTCCTGAGTTGGACTTTCACTGCACTCGACATTTATGCACTCTCAATATTTTAAAAATATGGCTTGAGAAAACTTTCCAAAGTTTCAGATGAAAACTCACTGTCATTTGAGTGATATTTTCCAAACTTTGATTTTTGCCTAGAGGTTTCATTATGTAGAGATAGAGAGATAGATATAGAGAAATATGTATAGATGATAGATAGATAGATAGATAGATAGATAGATAGATGGATAGAGATATCCATGTATCTATTTGTTTGAACTTATTCTGTGTTAATTGTCAATTTATCACCATATTTGGTGATTCTTTTCTAAATTTGTGAAAATTTCAGGCTTTGTTTCTTTGAGCATTTTTTGAAACAAATTATTTTGGTATTTCTTTCCTGTGACTCTGAAAGTTTTATTGCTTGATCTGTTATTTTAACCTAATATTCTCTAGTCATTGTCTTATTTTTCGTCTATTTTAGCCTAATTTCCCTGCCATTAGAAATGCTTTCATTCTACTGTTTTATCCTCAGGTTCAGTGATTTTTCTAATTTTCTAGTAATCAGTGCACCCAGTCAATTTTGTTCATTTATTTAGTTATTTTTATAACTTCCATTTGGCTCTTAAAAATAATTTCTTTGAACTGAATATTGTTACTTTCAGCTCTAATGCCAGCATTTAGAAGGCAGGAACAAAATTACTTCAAGCTCCTTGCCAGCTTGAGCACTATGTGAAAAACCAAACTTGCCAATAAAAAAGTCATTTATTTGCTGTGATGTTTAATTTTCTCTCATATTTAAATGTAATTTGTAATTGCTTGTCAGAACTGTTTCATGGGTACTTTAAAATCTTGTTAAACAATTCCAATAATTGATTCATCTAGATGGTAGTGTCTGTTTATTGTCTTGCTTTCATTAATCTGATTTTCTTGATTCTTGTTATCACAGGTGTTTATGGTGTCTTATATTTTTTTCAGGAGACTCAGAGTCCTACTAAAATCTTCCATCTTTTCAAAGAGTTACCTGTCTTAACATACAGATATACAGATTCTGGCTTTCTTTGTGGATGTCAGTTTGAAAGACAAATTTTCTATTCATGGCTCTGATAGACTTCCTGATAATTGGAAAGATGTTTCCTGAGCATTTTCTCCATTTATCTCATTTGAAGGAAAGAAATCTCTGAGTTTTGAGATGATGAGTAATTCTAAGACTGTAGTGGTTGTAGGATACTTCCTTCCAGTGTATACTAAGACATCCAGCCTTATGAAGTATTCTTAGACTCAGAAAGTAAAGTGGCTACTTGGACTGGTTACTTGTGTCAATATCCCTGTTGCTTGTATCCACTAAAACACAGTATCTCTGTTTGTGCATGGAGAAATCTCATGAATTGGCCAACTGTTTTGGTACAAAAAATTTCACTTTTGAAATAGGAATGGTATTGCAACCTTAGAAATTTATATGGAGAATAAACAAATATAAAAGTCTCTGAAGTCAGGGATTTTTCTCTGATGATTTTATTAATCTAGTCATGATACCCATGGCAGAATCATAATGTTTAATAGTTGCCTAATAAGTATTATCTGAATTAACCAGTAACATCAAGGAACATGCTGAAGAATGTGTAAATTTATTATTTGATAATCAGTGAATGTTGGCTGGCTTCCAACTTTGTCTTCTCCAGTCAGTGAGGTAATAGGTCCTCTGATACCAGTACCCTACTTGTTTTAGAATGTATAACAATACATACTGTTACTTGTCCATTGAGAACTTACTATTCACTAGGCATGATGATAACAACACATGCATTCAATACATGCACAGTTGAATTATGGGATAGAATCCTAAATGCATATGTAATCTTAACTTAGTATTGACAGTTTCTTCTCATAAGAGCTATGATGTTTTTGTGTTACCAGCAGAACGTGGTTAAGCCTGTTTCCCTGCAGTTTTCTTAACACAGGATATTGTCAAACTTTTGCAACTTGTTTATTCTAGTAAGTGAAAAGTCATATGTGAGTCAGTGATCTATGAGCATAGCAGAATGTGATTAGGAGTCATTTTATTGTTACCTTTTTTTCTTAAAACAGTAGTATTTGGTTTTATCGTAGGTCCCTGGGATATCTAGTCTCAGGTTCTTAGTCACCCAAGCAGTGTTGGATATGGCTTGTATCTCATGGAGTGGACCTTAAGTCAAATCAAGTATTGGTTGGCTACTCCCACAAGTTTTGTGCCACTATTGCCCCAGCTTATTTCACAAACAGAACAACACCGTATCTCACAGACAGGACAGCATTTTAGATCTTGGTGTTTATGTTTCTCCTTTGCTAGTGTGCAGAGTACCTTCTGGTACTAAGAACATTAGTCCTTATAGGTGAAGCATCTAGCTAGGCACCTGCTTGAATTCACTAGGTTTGGTGAGTTTTGTAGGTGTTATGTTCAAAACTGGGGCCTTGCAGTCAGTTTGTGCAGAGCAGCCTAAATTCTCGGCAACAGCCTGGGTTGTTTGGAGGCTCCCATGGGACCATGTTGGCCAACAACTCAATTAGATATAAGCTGATTCTTATACTGGATGCTTCCATTTTTTATAAGAACTGTCCAATTGGGACTCTGTCTCCCCCATTATTTGGCAAATTCATTTAGATTGCCTTCATATAAGCATATACTTTAGGAAACTTCTACCATATTCAGTTTCCATACTACCCCTCAGATGATCCTTAATTTTAGTTGTTTCTACCAATATTGCATCACTCATTTCCCTTTTCCCTCCCCCACTCTGCTTGCTCTTCCTGTTTCAGTACCCCCACCCATCCAGAGCTATCTATTCTAGTTCCCTTTTCTAGTGAGATCTATCCATCCCCACTTTTGATTGTAGCTTGATTATAATTGACTTAACAGTCAATATACACATATAATGTGTATTATATTTGTCCTTCTGGGTCTGGGATACCTCAATCGGGATGATTGCTTTTTCTGGTCCACTCCATTTACATACTGATTCATTTTGTAACAGGCAAATAATATTCCTAGTCAAAATGTCCCACCTTTCTTATTCATTCATTTGTTGGAGGACACCTATGTTGTTTCTAATTTCTGGCTATTATTAATAGAAAAGTAGTAAACATTGTTGAGCAAGTGTCTCTGTAGTATGATTAAAGTGTCATTCGGGTATATGCCTAAGAGTGGTATATCTGGATCTTGAAATAGATTGATTCTTGTCTTTCTAAGGAACCACCCAACTTATTTCCATAGTAGGAGAGCTAGAATAATCTTTACAGAACAACTATTCCAATCCCTTCTTTTATGCACGGAGAGAATAGGTTGGGAGTAATAGTCATAGTATCATTGTATTGATATCTGACCTGAAGCAAAAACAAGATAGATGCCTTATTCAGTGGATATTAAAACATTTTTACTACACTAGAATAAGAACTAATTTTTCATCATTACCCAACATGTGCGAATATTGGGTTTACCTGTGAAAGTTTTAATTAAAAAAATATGCACTATGTTTTATGTCAGATATTTGTTAGTACCCACCTTTTGATACATTGTAAAATTGTGCTTTCTTGTACTCTTTGTACTTAATAATGATCAGTTGATGTGTGTGTCCTGTGCCATATGATAAAATTGAAGTGTGTTATCTCTTGAGGACAAAATGTTCTCCCTTACTTGATGTTTCTATCATAGTAGCACAAAAATTAAACCTCTCATGCATGCACCATTGTGGCTAATACACAGGTCAGAACTCTCACTGAATCTCCAATAGGCAGCATGTGAATAAAAAGTAATCTCTTTTCACAAAGCTAAAATTTGAGAGTTAATCTTTTCCGTAGTGTAATCTGTTTATTTTGATTGATGCACTTAGCTTTACTTCATTTTATGTCACTATACTCTTTAGTTCCATTTCATTTTTCCATGTTGGTTAAAACTAATGATCCAATAATGTGGCTGAAATTTGTAGTTTGAAAAATATTGTTTTATACTATATTCACTTGACTCATAGCAGATCCTTTCTCTAAGTTCTTATAAATACTCCTATATTTCAGGATTGTGGTTATGGAGAAGGTGGTGATGCATATTGCACAGACTGCCCTCCCCGAAAGTATAAAAGCACCTGGGGACATCACAGGTGTCAGACTTGCATCACCTGTGCTGTCATTAATCGGGTCCAGAAGGCCAACTGCACAAATACCTCTAATGCTATCTGTGGAGACTGTATGCCCAGGTAAGCCTACTCAATTATATCAGTCTTTCTAGGATTTCTTAAAACTTTTTAGTGTCCCTCATCATCTTACCTCTTAGACCCTAGTAAGAGTATCCTGACTACTCATGTCACACTCTATTTAAGCTCTATGAATGGGGAAGCCATATCTTCCTAGCTAGATCCCTATATATGAAGTACCTGACAATTATTAAACACAGATGAACACTTGAAACATTTTAATTGTGCTGATATTCTGCCTAAAATTTAAAGTAAAAATGTCACTTTAGATAGATTGCATATAAATCATGAATAAATTGGTGTCATAACTGCTTTCCCGTCTCATGTCCTTAACTACCCTTTTGGCTATGGGATGTAATGAATTAGGAAAAAAGTTGTACTGAATCACACATGTCAGAGATTTCACAAATGTAGGTACTGCTTCCCATGGAAGAAACATGAAGGAAACAGTTTTAGACATTCTCGATGGTCTCAGGAAACACTGTTACAAGTCAATTGCTTGTTTCATCAGTCTGCCATAACTTTCTTCTCTGATCACAGGTTCTACCGAAAGACACGCATCGGGGGACTGCAAGACCAAGAATGTATCCCATGTACAAAGCAGACTCCTTCTTCTGAGGTTCAGTGTATGTATCTAGTTTTCTCTGCTGTCTTCCCCAAACTGCTTTGTGTCAACTGAGTCAATAGACTTCTTTATTCTTGTAGAAGGAAAATAGTCTTTAGTACTCCTTCCATTGGAGCCCTGGTGATGACAATCACCTATGATTTATCCCCAACTTTTCAGCATTCAAACTTACTGAAATTCATTTCCCTTGTCTTAAAAATTGAATCTAATGAAAATATTTTTATTCAGACTTAATGACCTGCTTGCTAAGTTTGTTAGAGTAATAAATGCTATAGTGTACTTAAAAATGATAGCATTTCTACATGTATTAATTGCTATTATACCCAATATTACTATTAGAGTCAATATACATGGTATATGGAAGTCATAAGGTTTTAGACCACCTTAGAATCTGAAAAAAAACTAGAATATAGTCTATGTGCATATCATTTGACATTTGCTTGTTTGTCTGAGTTACCATAATTTTTGTTTATCTTCTAACATATTCTTCACATTAGTGGTTTATCCCTAAAATCATGATATATAAAATAAACATTGCAAAATATACATAAGTATAAAAATATAAAGTCCTAAATTAGCTGATATTTCTAGAAAATAAGTCTTAAAATTTTGTATATTTCCTTCAGATTTTTAAAAGAAGAGACATAATAAACTTCCCTTTTCAATCCTGAGTTCTCTTCATTCCTTCCCTCCACAGAAACACACTCCCCCGGCAGGATAGGGCCTTCAACCGGGGCTCCCCAAAGGCCACCACATCATCCTGGGCCGGGCCTAGGCCCTCCCCCATGTGTTCAGTCCGATAGAATCCCTTCATGTTGAATGGGTTTTCAAAGTCCCTTCTTACACCTGGGAAAAATACTGATCCACTATCAGGGGCCCCATAGTGTGCTGAGTCCTCTTCACTGACATCCACATTCAGGGATCTGGATCAGTCTTATGCTGGCCTCCCAGACAGCAGTCTGGGGTCCGTGTGCTTCCCCTTGTTCAGGCCAGCTGTTCCTGTGGGATTCAGCAGCCTGGTCCCGACCCCTTTGATCTTCATTCCTCCCTCTCTGCAACTGGGTTCCAGAGATGAATTCAGTGTACAGCTGTGGGTGTCTGCCTCTGCATCCACCAGCCACTGGATGAGGGCTCTAGGATGGCATATAAAGTAGTCATCAGTCTCATTATAGGGGAAGGGCATTTAGGGTAGCCTCTCCGCCACTGTCTAGATTGTCAGTTGTTGTCATCCTTGTAGATCTCTGGAAATCTCCCTAGTGCCAGATCTCTCCTCGGACCTACAATGGCTCCCTCTGTTATGGTATTTCTCATCCTGCTCTCCTCTATTCTTCCCCCAACTCAACCTTTCTGCTCCTCCATTTCCTCCTCTCCCCTGCTCTTCTCCTCTTCTCCTTCTGCCAGCTTCCTCTCCCCTACCCTCATGATCCCAATTAGCTCAGGAGATCCTGCCCCTTCCCATTCTCTATATACTTTGCTCTTAGAGTCCTTCATGTTTCCTGGTTTCTTTTGTGAAGAGGATTATAGGCTGGTAATCCTTTGCTCTATATCTAAAATTCATATATGAGTGAGTACATACCATGTTTGTCTTTTTGTGACTGGGTTATCTCACTCAGGATGATTTCTTCTAGTTCCATCCATTTGCTTGTGAATTTCAAGATTCCATTGCTTATTTCTGCTGAGTAGTTCTCCATTGTGTACCACATTTTCTCTATCCATTTTTCAGTTGAGGGGCATCTAGGTTGCTTCCAGGTTCTGGCTATTACAAATAATGCTGCTACGAACATGGTTGAACATATGTCCTTGTTGTATGAACGTGGGTTATTTGGGTATATGACCAAGAGAGGAATGGCTGGATCTTGAGGTAGACTGATTCCCATTTTCCTGGGCAACCGCCATACTGATTTCCAAAGTGGTCTTACAAGTTTGCACTCCCACCAGCAATGGAGGAGTGTTCCTTTTTCTCCACATCCTCTCCAGCATAGATTGTCATTGGTGTTTTTGATTTTAGCCATTCTGGCCAGGGTAAGATGGTATCTCAGAGTTTTTTTTTAGTTGCATTTCTCTGGTGGCTAAGGATTTTGAGCACTTTCTTCAGTGTCTTTCAGCCATTTTGCTTCCCCGAACTTTTAAGCCGCTTTTTAATAGGCTATCCTATGCTAATAAACAAATCCCATGTTTCCTTTCATAAGGCAAAGGCCTTCTTCCATAATGTGCCTATTGTGGCTAGACTAGGTAGTACTAAGTTCCTTGTCACAGAAAGAAGTGATAGAGATGTATCAGCTCTTAACTGAGTCTAGAAGTGACATACATGTTTTCACTAAAAGTGCATTGTCTGCAAGTATGTTCATGTCTTCACTGTAAGCGTGTAAAAAATACAGAGAGTGTGTGGTTAATTCATAGGCATATTCCTCTTATGTATTCTCTATTACTGTTTAAATGTTTGTATCACTTCATGTATATTCATATCCTTAGACAATATGTGCTAGTATGTTTGTCCTTTACAATATTTTCTGTAAAGGTCATCCAGCTATTCTTCACTTTGTTTTTCTCCACTGGGTTACTTATAATAATCAATGAAAGGTCTTTTATGACGTCTTAGGGGTAAATCACGATTTACTGATCTAGTATTTACTGATGAGCATTTTAATTTGCTTCTATATTTTAGGTTATATTGCTAAATATAGCATGAATGAAGCAAAATAGCAGCATCTTTTGGTTAGTCATGCTAATTTATACCATTCCTGGAGCTTATGAGTTGTGCTTTTTTCATGATATTTTTACCTAGTCTCAGATAAGAACATAGCAGCCCTGATAGAGATGACCTAAAGGAGATGTAACCAAGGACCTTTAGGGCCCTTGTCTAACTGTTAACTGCCCACATTGACTGACCACCACCCCCATTGTTCTGTTTTTGTTGTTCCACAGGTACCTTTCAGTTGAGCTTAGTGAAGGTGGATGCACATACTGTTCCTGGTAAGGAGGCCACACTTGTGGCACTGGTGGGCAGTCTGCTGGTGGTGTTTACGTTGGCCTTCCTTGGACTCTTTTTCCTCTACTGCAAGCAGATCTTCAACAGACATTGTCAATGTGGTAAGTGTGTCTGCTTAACATTTCACATGAATGAAAATAAAACATATTTTGGTAAAAGAGGAATTTTTCTGAAATTGTAATTTAATGGGCCTTCTCTGCCACATTGGAAAACCCCAGGAATGATGTTCTGTTATCACATGAAACTGTCTGCAATGGCATCAAAAACATGGGATGTCAAAAGGGCTGGGATGTACCTGGTTTAGTGGACTGATTTATTAAGTTTTAAGTTTTCTCTTAGTGGGAAATCACTTGGTAAAGAAATCAAGAGAACAAACATCTATTTTAAATCATAATGTAACTCAACCTATCTAGATTCTTTGGGTTTACTTAATTTTAATCTTCAAAATGATAGATGGGATTGGACAAGTTATTTAAACTGTTTTCTGTATTATGTATTAGTAGATTCTGAAGCATCAGAATTGAAGAGGATTTAGCTATATCTGAAACACGTCTAATAAAAGTTAATGAGGTCTACAGTAAATACTGTCAATATAGTATTTTCCCAAAATGGGATAACTGAAAGCATAGTGTTTAGTCAACATTCTTATATTTTTCTGTCCTCCAAACTCCAAAATACTGCTGCTCCAGGAGATCTGGCTCACACCATAGGAGATAGCTACATGAAAATCAAGACAGATGATTATGGTCGAACTCTTGATAACACTTTGATTTTTTCTTCAACTTCATCTATGAGCCAATAATGTAAGGCTGAAAGTATAGTTCATTAAGGAGCAAATACAGAAGAGGTGGGATCATCAGGACTAACAAGGCAATAGAATCCCAGGCAATAATACCACTGTCCAGTGCAGCTTCATTAATGGAACCAAGAACTAAACAGGGACAATGAAAAAAAACTAACTCAGACTAATAAACAGACCTGGGTTAGTAAAGGGAAGGATAGAGTTTACTAGATGCAGTGTCAAGATTCCTTAACTTAATGGACACTGTGCCTGAGGCAACACTTTATTTTAGTGTTGGAAAATCCCTTTTAAATAGAGCTTGCTTAGTCTGTTTGGCTCTAAAACCTATCAATTATTTATTTGTATGTACTCAATGTTTAGCAAAGATGAATCTAGCATTTCATGAGATAAAGCGTTTCCCTCTTGATTCTCAACGCCTATTCTTCAACTCTACTTCAATCTCCTTAAAGCTTCTTTGGTAGCTCTAAAGTTCAGATAATGGTGGATCACTGTCTGTTTCATTGACCAGCCAGTCTTTGGAAGGTGTTGTGTAAAATAAGAATCCTTGCCCAATGCTGGATCATGTGTAATGAAGTGTTTGGGTCCCCAGTATCAGTAAGGTGGATGTGCTGAAGCATCTAAGAACAGCCCATCTCCCTATTCTTCCTTTGGAGAGAAAAAAATGAGTAACTATTTTACTAGCCTAAGGAGGCTATTGTAGTATCCTCCTGAGAGAATAAAGACAGATAGCTTCCTCATGATTTCCATATGAGAAGGGTGTTTATTAGTACCCACTGACTGACACACATTCTAGGGCTTTGTGGGTAATGCTAACTTAGTGAGAATTAAATCCACTGCAGATGCAGGAAAAAGGAATGGGATTGTGGTATACTAGAAGGACCATCTTCTATCTACTCAGGAATCTGTCACTCTTTTCCTTCTCTTTGTTACCACTTGCAAAACTTTCCAAATTTTCAAATAATTCAGAAATTTGTGATTTTGTATGAAATTTCCTTATGGACTCACAAATAATTTAAACAAACTGCAGAAGCACAACCATAGTGGGGAAACAAATAAACATATACTCAGTTTGTAACTTAATATTGAGTCAGGCTCATGTATGAATGATGGTTTACTTATCTTTATCATTGTTGTAATAAATTGTCAAATATTTAATGGCTTTTCTCAGTTTCCATATCTCAGAAGATTAGCAGGACTTACTGGGTCTTAACAAGGCCTAAATCAAGAAATTGACAGGACTGTATTTCTTTCTGTATACTCTAGAAGAATCTGTTCCCACATGAATTTATAGAAAAAAAGTGCTATTTTCTTGGTGGCTATCAGCTGAAGGTCATTCCCAGCTTCTAGAGCAGTGGTTCTCAACCTCAGAGGCGTGATCCCTCTGGGACTCAAATGACCCTTTCACAGGGGCTGCCTAAGACCTGCAGAAAATACATATATTTACAATATGATTGATAACCAGCAAAATTATAGCTATAAAGTAGAAACATGAAGAAGTGTATTAAAGGACTGAAGCATTAAGAAGGTTCAGATCCACTGGCCTAGAGGCTGCTCACATTTTTTTGGCTCCTGGCTCTCTTCTATTTCTAAAACTAGCAATGATATATTGGTGTTGTTTTATGCCACACCTCTCTAATGTTCTGTGTCATTTCTGCCTTCTGATATTTCTCAGGATGCATCTAGTAACCTAGCAAAATGGAACTAAATTAAAATGTTGATCATTAATCATAGAATAAAAATTATGATTTTAAGGGTATTTGTGAACTCATCTGCATAATTCAAGATAATCTTCTTTTACTACCATAATTCTGATTGTGTGGTTCCTTTGCCATATAATATAGTACACACAGATTATGGAAGAACGGGACATATTACAATATCTTTTCTACAAGGCATCTATCTCTAGCTGAAGAACTTTGTCTTGCTTAATCTAGCATCTGGCCTATTAATGTAATACACCAATGAAAGTGTGTTTCTGAAATGTATCATTTTAGACCAATTCTAGATGCTCTGGTCCTCTAGAAGGGAAGTGGAACTCTGGCTCCTAGACCCCCTTACCCCTCCTTATTTTGTGTTCAGGAATAGGTACCCTGTTGAGAAGAGACTTTGACTTTGGGTGACTCAGTGGCTTTCTGCTTCGAGTTGCAGGAGGTTCACTGCAATATGAAGCTGAGAAAGCAGTAGAAGAGGATTCTCTTTTCCCCATGCCAGCTGGCCAGGAGACCAGTCCTGAATTTCCAGTGAATGAGAGCATCTTTGAGATCAAGCCACTTAACTCTGTCCTGGATGATGACTGCAGCTCCACTCGTGGCTTCCCCACCCAGGAGTCCTTTACCATGGCGTCCTGCGCTTCAGAGAGCCATTCTCAATGGGTCCATACTCCCATTGAATGTACAGAGCTGGACCTGCAAAAGTTTTCCAGCTCTGAACCCTGTACTGGAGCTGAAACCTCGAGGGAGAACACAGCTGGAAGCTCTGGAGACAGGCTGCAGCTCCATTTACCTTTTCAAACTCCCAGACTTTGACTCTACTGAGGTGAGCCAGAAGAGTGTTGTTAAAAGCCCAAAATGTGTGGGCCACTCCCAACAAATTTCCAACCCTAGCTCTATTGTATGACAGGGCTTGGGCAGAGGACTGGCAGGAAATTAGGTCGATGGAAGTTGGAGAGGCAACAGTTGTGGCACTAAGCTTTTGAGCTAATTTTACATCAGACTTGTAAGCCAACAATTGTCTGGAGACTGGGAAGGCTGACATGATGCCAGTTTCTTCATCTGGACCCCACTAGTCATATTCAATTTTCTCCTTTAGTGTGTATAAGCAGCACAGCATTGTACAGGTCTATACCCGGATAAACCTCAGTTCCTGAATAACTTTATGAGCTCATGGAAATCGTTTTACCTCTTTCAGACTGGGTCTTCTACTCATAAGTATCATGAGGATTGAATGAAAACACATGTGAGTGTCCTTTATAATGTCTTCATGAGAGGTGTTTACACCATGCTGGCATTTCCTTCCTTTCCCTGCATTTGGCCACAAATTACAAATTTCTTCTATATTCACTACATTTTTTCTGAACTTCATGTCTTTGTGGTAGGCAAATCAGAAATATGCTAATCTCATTGTAAACAGGCAAGAATTGAGCCACAGAGATGAAAAATGATTTGCTTAAAGTCACAGAGCAATCCAATCTCAGAACTAGGCTAGAGCCCAGAATTAGTAGTCCCATTATAGAGTTCATCTAACTCCATCATTGGATTTTGAAATATAGGTATATGTAGCTCAATATGTCACATATATATGTGATATATATATATATATATATATATACGTATATATATATGTGTGTGTGTGTGTGTGTGTGTGTGTGTGTGTGTGTTTGTGTGTATAAACATCTTGGGAAGAAAACAGAACATATACAAAATTCATTTATGCTTCATATACACCTTAAACATATATCCTCAAGGTACTTTCATGTGCTATTTTTAGTACAAGCTGTCATGTGTGATCAAGCGTGAAATGTTGCACTTAAGGTGTCATGTGAAATAGTTATAAAGTTTTGAGCATTTGGGATTTTGAATCTTAGAATTTCGGACTAAGGATGGCCAATCTATTTCTTCATCAAGAAGTTATGCAGTTCTTGTTCATACATTGCAGTGAACAAGAGCTCACAACTGCCCAATGTGTAGTACAGCTATGACTGAAAAGGTGAACTTAACATAAAAAGCATAATTGTATCTCATCCTCACTTGTGGGTTCTGGTTCTATTGCTTGTGCCACACATCTGATTCCTCTGCAATGTGAGAGAACTGATGACAGCATCTGTCTGGAGAGCATCACTTTTGGTTTTTCTCCAGTACATAGTATTGATAATTTAACCCAGTTTCAGTAAAATTACTTTGGCTAATTTGGAATAGGATAGACTTGTCATGTCTATTAGGCAGGTGATATATTTCTGCTATTGTGTCCTAAATCACTGATCTAACCATGAACTTTTAGAGTAAAGGGAAAGGAGGGTGGTGATGAGACTGCATCACAGCATTCTAACTTACTCTACTCTTTTTCTAGGTCTCTTTCACTCTTGGCAACCTTGCCGGTGGTTATTGCTGGACTTTCCTGCTCTTCTTCTGTTCAACAACAGTAGCATGGGCCTGGAATGTAGGCCCCACAATAACCAATACTCTAAAAGGGTATACAGAACTCCATCCTACCTGAGGGTTAAATCTCCACCATTTCCCCAAGACTGATCTTGAGCATTTTTATTTATTTATTTCAGCCTGGGAACCAGCTTCCACAGCCATGGAACTGCTGGGCATGCTCTTTCTCTTTAATTCATTATAGAGGTGGGGGGTGCTGATAAACAAAGTAGTGATTTCCTGCCTGTATATTTTTCCTGCCTACATTTTTTTCAGTATGAATGAAGAAAGGGCTTTACAGAACTCTACCGACATCTACCTACTACTTTAGAGAGAAAAATGAAATGCTTTCCATGTTAACTTTCTGCTTTGACATGCACACACACACACACACACACACACACACACACACACACACACACACACACACTCCTCACCCTCGCAGAGTGGAAGGATATATAGAGAGACATCATGGGGAGGCCTGAACACACACACACACACACACACACACACACACACTCTCTCTCTCTCACACACACACACACACACATACACGGTGGGAGGATATATAGATATAGAGATATCATGAGGGAGGCCTGAAGCCTTGATTCTACAACTCATGTCTTAGACTTCTACAGTCGTGATAGCCCTGAAGCCAGCATATTTGCTCGAGTCTCCATTCTTAAATATTAAGCTGCCAACACTCTCTAGGGTGATGCAAATTAGTGTCTTTTAGAGTTTAAATTTTTCTTTTCTTAAATTCTTTCCATTTTTTTTACCTTTTTCCCTTCCAGTCAGGTCTTGACTGTGAAGTTTCTGAGGTGCAGGAGTAGAGCACTGAGGAGCAAAGGGGACCAATTGGTGCTTTTTGGCTTAAAGAATAGTCCATTCATTTCTCTTAAGCCTGAACCTCCAGTTTCACATGCTTCTTAACATGAACTGAAAGTTTTTTCTTTATAACCTTTCTGTGGAACATGGCAGATGTGATCCTCAGGACATAGATGTGAGCATCATGTATTGATGTTAAGTATCCCCTTATGTCTAAAAAGAGCCACTAGTTTTAATGCCTATGCCCTCATAATGGTCCAGTCAAATGAGTAAAACAACTGGATCTTTTTGCTTGGGAGTAGTGTTTGCTGTCCATGATGTTGGTATGACTTAATTTATTGAAAATTCATTTAATTTATTCAAAACAAACTAAATATAAGCACAATTATTCTGGTCATGATGTTAAGATTTACTATAAATATGGGTGCTGCACTTTACAGTATTCACATCAGAGATGTTGTCTCCATAGCTCTTTATACAAACTTTGGTATAGGCAGTGAAGGGGTTACTCAGTGAAATAGGCGTGCATAGCAAGGCTAGAATGTTTTCAGTCAATTCTCTTCATTTGATACTCCCTGATGACTTTTATAAGGTAGAAGAGAAGGGAATGAATGCATACAAGTATTCCCTTAATACAAAAGTGGCAGAGGCAGAAGTACCAGAATTTTGAGGCAGGTCTGCACAGCATTGCAAGATTCTTTGTCAAAACCCAAGGGATAGGAATTTAGTTAGTGATGGAGTACTTGCCTTTAGCATCAACAAGGTCATAGATTCAATCCTAGCATTACAGAAGAAAGAGATTGGTGGAGGAAGGAAAGGATAGAAGGAAAGAAGGAAATAAAGCATTTTCACCACCAAGAAATGCAATAGATCCCATAATCTGCTGGTGCTGCTGAAGCTGTAGTAGAGTTTTCCATTGGAAAATGTCACATGAGTTCATCTTAGGGGCTTTTCTTGCCTTTCCTACTACTAGCTCTTAAATACTGTTTATACAATTTTTTCTGCTTGCTCTTGGGTCCCTAGACTCATAGCATTCTGTGAGTCTGATGGACGGTTCAGTGGATATTCAAAGAGCAGTGATCCTGAGCTGTAGCATATAAAACAGAAAGGAAATTTCATATGGGTCTCCTGGGCCTTATTTCATATTTGAAGTTCTATATTTCTCCACCCCTAACAGGAAGCCAGGCTGAAGTTTGATTTTTCAGTACCCTACAGAACATTTTTTAGTCAACTTTTGCTTTCCTATGTCTGGGCTCTCCATACAACCACCCAACAGACCTCTAAAGATACCTCCAACCTATTTTCTGTTAGCTAAGTGATGATGTGAAACATGCCCAAGGTATTGGTATTTCTTTTGACATCTCAGTTAGATGCCTAGTGTGCTGTCCATTGGTTCGTTTTGAATGCTAATTTTTGCATTAGCTCTTTATACTTTTTTATGAGCAGATAGAACCAAGAGGCACCTTGAAGATTATATTATTTTTATTGTCTCAGAATCATTCTGAATCTTGTAAAGCTAGTTTCTATCCTACAAGTGCTTGGTGGTTAAGGTAAAATGTGGCCTTCATCACCAGATTTTATCCCTAACAGAGAGTATTTTCTACAAGATTTCTGGTTTTAGGATTCTGTTAAGTGTATCTTTAATAACAGCTCATCCACAAACACTGGTTAAGGACCTTAAGGTCAAATCAATGATAAGTGTGTTAAAAGCATGGGAGAAAAATGCTAAAAGGTCCCATTGTACTTGGCAGGGGATTAGAAGCAATTGAATCACAAGCCTTCACCAGGCAACCTGGTCTCATGTAAGCATTAGCAAATATGTGTGAGCCAATGTTTAAACCTTGGTCTTTGGGCTCACTGTACTTTTTTCTGGGACATTTATTGTCATCTCACCAACTTTAATTAGTCATATCTGTACTTCTGGTGGAGAACAACTAACACCCAGTCTGAGGTGGATTCAGCTTAAGTAATTTCCAGCTGTTGAAAGGTCACCATGTGCCTAGCACTGCTTCAAACTCAAATCTATCACTGCTTCTCAGTGAGAAGGATTGTGATGATTGCACAGCAAAAACAATGTGATTAAATGAGCCAGGCATCCCACTACACTGTGGTTGTACATAGCAAGGTCATTATAAGCCCGTACCAAAAATCATCTTGGTTCCAATTTTCTTAAATTAAGCAGATGGAGTTGGTAATTAAAATAAGGACGTTTTGTTTTCATTTGGTTTCTAAGGTATCTTGAGTAGAAGTGAAGGATGTTTTTTTTTTTTCTTTAAACTGATATTTGGCCATGGCCAAATTCATATTTGCATGTTTGCTCAAGTAGTGTCCTTATAAAGTGGGACAACATTGTGTACTATGTTTTTATGTGTCTTCTACTTGGGGATCTAAGTAAGTAGAAGAATCCATTATAAATGTATTCAACCTAACTCTGAGCCTGGACGTAGTTCCATTTTACATATTTGAATTAGCAAAAGAATGTTGATCTTGTTTACAAGGCTGAAGTAGGTGTTTAGTGGAGGTGAGTCAGGCTTCAGTGTTCACTTTTTTCCTCCACTTACAGTTTCCCTGGAATTTTGAAAGGTTTTAAGTAGTATGGGAGATCAACTTTCTTCCATAAGGGTCTTAATATCAGGTTAAGTAAAAATGTCAACACTACATCACTCTCTTCAACAAACATCATCGACACACTGAGATGTCACCCTCGTACCCACCTCTACTCAATTTATTACTAAGGTCTTTGGTGTTTTGTGTTTAATGTAGGAAGATTTTAATTACTACTTTTCTTAAAATGAGCTATTTGTAGAGATTTTGTTAAATCTTGAGCAAGATGCATGTGTGGATACTGACAAGTTGTGTTTGGTTTATGAAATCTGCAAACAGTTCATATGAATCAATAAAAGATGTACATCCAAGTGTCTTGTTTATTCCTCCTGTTTCAGAGAACTGGGATGACTCATTCGGTTGTTTTGTTGTGTCTGCTCAGTCAGTACAGAAAGAAATGTGTTTCTAATCATTGGTTGTAGCAACAGGGCCACGGGGATTCTGACTTGTAACCCAGGAGATCTGAGTTATAGTCTAAATTATCCTGCTTTTGAATTGTTTATGGAATTTATACTCTTGTCTGGCTGCAGATCTTCAGGAAAATTTTGTGTCCTAAGCTTATAATTCTTAAACAGTTTTATGTAGTCTTTAGACTGTGTGCATGTATTTAGAGGAATGAACCAAATTCCCATTAATTCATACTGTTTTAAAAATAAGAAAATGCACACACACACACACACACACACACACACACACACACACACTAGAGCATTGGTAAGACTGCCTCTTAAGAACATTGCTTTCCATTGTTTGGTCTGTATTTTTTTTTACAGTGTTATTGAATTCAAGGGACTGCTAAAGGACTAGCATTTAATTTGAAATGTTCTTCACTACTCTAATGTTATTTAAAACCAGGCAAATTAAATTTCTTCCTATCCCAAATATTGTCTAATTCTAATAAAATACATACTGACAAGGATGTGAGAAAAAGAAAAAATCCATACATTATTGGTGGGATTGTAAAGTACTATGGCCTTTTTAAAACAGCCTGGCAGTTCCTGTAAAAGTTGAAGCTTCAGTTATCATATGATTCAATAAATCTACTCATCCATAAATACTAAAGATAATTAAAAACATGTATACATAATATTTTGACTAAGTAAACTTAGAAACACTGTTTATAATGTTCAAAATTGACAGGGATCCAAATTTTATCAACTGATAAATTAATCAACAAATTGTAATACAAAAAAGTTATTAAATGATTAAAATAATTGAAATTCTTATAAATGGTATGTCAGTATTTATTCTCAAATTATATGAAGTGAAATGATCCAGGTATCAGAACATACATATTACACAGTTCCATTTTTATTAAATATTTGTGCAATGTAACAGAAAGTAAATTATTGGTCTCTTGGTAATGGGAACAAGAGAAACAACTAAATGTTAATAGTCATACATGATCTATTTGGAAGATATTTAGAAGATAAAAATGTTATGGTGCTAGGTGCACTTCTCAGTAAATTTATTAAAAAATTGCAGACAACGGGTTGGAGAGATGGCTCAGCCATTAAAGGCTAGGCTCACAACCAAAAAATTGCAGATAAGCAATCCAACATTGGTGGCACATGCCTTTAATCCCATAACTCAGGATGCAGAGGCAGTAGGATCTCTGAGTTAGAGGCCATCCTGGTAGAAGGTGAGTTCTAGAAGAGCTAGGGCTACACAGAGAAACCCTGTCTCAAAAAAAAAAATATTGTGAACAGGCACACTTGAAATGGGTGACTTTTATTATATAAAATGCTCAGTAAGGCTATTTAAAAAACATTTCACAATCACTGACCTCTGAGCTCACTTTTTACTTGTCGATTTTAATACTCTCCATATACCTTCATTGCCTTGGCTGAGTTTTTAATCTCTCTCTCTCTCTCTCTCTCTCTCCTACACTACTTAGATACTCACTTCAGGGTAAAAAATAGATGTATTCAGTTCTATTATTTTTCAACTATCTACATAGCCAGGGGGAATGAGGAAAAATAAGTATATAACACGAACTCAGAGGGAGGTATAGGCATATGTCTCAGTCCACAAGAGGAATAGCAGGGGAAGACATTACAGTCTCAGGATTGGACAAAAAAAAAAGAGATGTTAGGCAAAAGAAGTACTAGTGCAGGCCACAGTGAGGCATATTAGCATTATCAATGGATAAAATATTAATTGTCTGGCAATTACTAGTTGTTAAGAGTCTGGGGACTGTGGTGAGACTGTCATGTTTCTGGATGTAAGAAAACACATCAGGTCTTATAGTCTCACTTGATTAATATTAGGATGCTGCCATAGTAAAGAAGTTTAAATCCACAAATGTATGCATAGTGATGGAGGCACAGAAGTGGCTAATATGTGAGCAGTAACCTCGTTTGCTGTGGAGTTGAGGTCAATGTGTGCCTGTGCTAATAACAGGGCAATGAACTCCCACTCTACACTAGAAGGACATGGGGAAACTGGATCCCTCAACAGATGGATAAGAGCAGTAAAAGCATCCAAGCATCAAAAACGGAATTTTTAGATGGTTATTAATATTTTTATTAGTGACTAAGAACGCTTGAATTTTTCTGGGCTAGTAACTATAACGATAACTCTCTCCACCTAATTTCTGCCACCACGTTACAGCCCCCACATAACACACAGAGATTAATATTGTTACAATGCTGTTGACCAATGACTAGGATTTCTTATTTGCTAGCTCTGTATTAAGTATCAACCATAACTATTAATCTATATATTTTATAAAGACTTATCTTATCCAGGACACCAGCGGCTTGCATCCTCTCTTCCCTGGGATCACATGGCGACTCTCCTCTCTACTACATTTCCCAGAATCCTCCTGACTCCTAGCCCCACCTATCTTGCTCCCCTATTGCTTTATTTATCAACAAATAAGATAAACATATTCACAGAAGTACCTCCTCCATCAAGAAACACTACTTAGTTTGTTCAGTGTGACTGGTAAGTTTCTGTATACCTAGAAATTAGCCTTTCAAGGATTGAGAAATCATGTATTAATGAGTATTGGGATTTCAGGTGCTGTTTGTCTGAATAAAATGGCTTCCTACTTAGGGAACTTGCTCTGCTACATGACTTTCATCCACTAAGCTTATATCCTTGTGGCTTCTAATGGTAGCAGATTTCATTCATTAATAACTCCTTTATAAGTAGTAGTGCAGTGACAATGAAGTAGAATGGAGTATTAGTATGTGGAGGTTAGTGTGCTGATTAATTTTTTGCCATTTTGATACAGCCTAGTGTATCTGAAGAAGGACCACAATTGAGAAAAAGTCTCTCTTTGGTTGGTCTGTAGACAAGCCTATGGGACATTTTTGATTAATAGTTGATGTGGGAAAGTGGTGATACTCCTGGACAAGTAGTCCTGGGTTGTAGAAGAGAGTAAACTGAGTAAAGCATGGAAAGCAAGATAGTAAGAAGCATTCCTCCATGGCCTCTGTTTCAATTTCTACCTCCAGATACCTATAACTGCTACTACCCTGATTTCCCACAATGATGGATCTTGACATGTATGCCAAACAAATCCTTTCTTTCCAAAGTTTCTTTTGATAATGATGTTTCTCACAGCAATAAAAATCTAAAGGACACTCTTATGTGAGTTGACCCGTATATGTGCATTAATAGCTTGTATTTTATTGAACCAAACCTCATGATAGAGATGGTAGTTGCCCTTAGTAATATTCATCTTATAAAGAAGAAAACTAAAGTTCTGACAGATTTAATGATTCTTTTCTGAAGTTTATATGACTTTAAACAATGTTCCGGAATTCCAGCTTGGGTCTGTCTGCCCCTTAGACTTAGGTGTGTTCCACTATTCCGTGGATGTCTCCCAATGACAGGCATTAGGAAACATAATGCTCATCCAACTAAGTCCCCCATGTTGCTTATATGGTAAAGATTGTGTGGGAGGAAAGCCAAAAACACAAATTTTCATGATCATAGACCATAAAATTTCTCAAGGAAAAATTGTTTGCTTGTTTGTTTTTTCAAGGCAATGTGTAAAGAAAGGGGCAACCAAGTCAAATAGCATCATTTCAAGCAATATTTGTACTACCTAAGCCAAATATAGAAAATTTGTTCTCTTATTGTACCCTTGCCGGTAAGTTAGTGTGATATGGGGGTCAAGGCCTATGTTCTTACTTTCCTATAGTGATATAGCATTTTCTGTCCTACCAGGCTGTTACCAAACAAGGCCAAATGCAACATGGAGACTTTGTCACTACCTGCATCCCACTAAGATTTCACCTTGCCACATAATTACAAAGAATCCCTCTCACTTCCAGCCCTGCTAGTGATTGTTAGTGGAAGTTTTGTGAAAGGACAGAACATTAACTACTATCTTGAAATAACAAGGTATGTTTCCATTCAAAGACGTCAGTGGTGGTCATCTGGGAAACAGTAATATGTTACCTTCCTCTAGCCAGGTCAGTATCTACAGAAATCTCAAAAAGAACTAAAAATTTCATGTTACCAAGAAAAAAGATGGGTCTCTCACCTCTGTGGTATAATGAGAGGCTGAGTGAAACACTTTGACCCCACCACCACCGACTGGCAGTAATAACAGGATGAGTCATGTCCTTCAGTTGTTGTGTCAGGTTCCTTGTAACCTTTTCCACTTGCAATTCTTCCACTTTGAGTCACTGTGACAACCACCCTGGTCACTTTTACCTATTTATCAATTATCTCAAGCATACCTATCACCCCACAGCCTTTATAATTACCATTCCTTCTGTGTAGCATAAATCTTGCTGGTAATATCATTATGTTTCAAGCTTCTTCTTAAATGTTACCATCTCAGATAAGGCTTTCTTATTTTTGTTATGTCTCAAATAGTTCATACATATGCAAGGTCCCACTCAGACATCTCTCTTCAAGCTCCTTGTCCTTTTTTTCTGCTTTTACTTTTAATTTTTTAACCTACTGAATCCAAGTAGTGTTGCTCATAAATGCACAGACATGGAGCTAGCCTACTGAGGCATGGGCAACTTACCAGTAACCATAGTCCCAAAGGAGAATGATTTTCCTCTTTCAACACCTACAAACTGCCAAGGGCTCCTTAATTAGGGATGGGTTCTTGTGAGCTTCTCTCCCATCCATGCTATAATGTTGCTGGCTTAATCTTAATGTTGTGCCAGTAACCCCAGCTGCTGTGAGCTGAGTAAAATGGCAATAGCATAACCAAAAGATAACATTTTACAACACTCCTCCCCATCCTACAGTTCTTAGGTTCTTTCTACCTTTTCTTCTGTGATGTTCCCTGAACCTTGGGGGGTTGATATATATGCCCCATTTAAGGATGATCACT